CTTAGTTGTTGGTTTGGGTTTTCCCCCCCAAATTATTACATCACCTTTATCTCAAGCCACATCTTCTAACTTTTACCTTTGCAATTCTATCCCTTCATCTCACTGCAGGGGAAGGAGTGGATGAGCAGCAGTGTGGTGCTTAGTTGCCAGGTAAGGTTGGACCCAAAACCATAATTATAACTCTGTTACAATGCCTTGAAATTTTGAAATTTGAAATTATAAACTCACAAACAGGTTTGTTCGGGTTTTTTCCCTCCATGTAGAGAGGTCCAAGCATGTAGTATTTTGTAGGAAAGTATTTTAGGTTCTTTTCCTGGCAACAGTGTTGAAGTTCCAGAGAGAAACTAACAGAATTTCAGCTTCCCTTGATTCCCTATGTTAATCTGTATTTAAAACAAGAGGACTATATCATAACACTTCTATAAACTTCTATAACACATAATTAAAAGGAATTCTAAGTAAATTAATTTTTTACAGAGAGGTTAATGGATTTTTATTTCAATACATGATATGCAAATATTTTGGGTTTGAAATTATTATCCTAAAGATCTGTAGCTTTATTTCAGGTTAACTAAATGAAGCTAGCAGAGGATGGAGATGACATCAGTTTCTGTTGTGAAAAAGCCTTTGTCCTCCTAATTCTTAAACTGCTACATTTTGGGAGAAGCATTAATTGTCTTGTTAGACAGAATGCCTCTCTACTTTTCAAAGACTATACTAGACACTTCATGCAAAGACTCCAGGAACTCAGTATAGTTGCAAGCAGATTTACGAAGACTAGCTGCTCCTACAACTCATGTTTCAGAAAAATAATGGAAACAGAAATGCTGAAAGCTCCACGAGTAACTCAGCAGAGGACATGAAAAATAAAATAACTAAATTAAAAAACCCCAAAACCTACTGTCATAGATCCAAAGGAGAAGCAACAGCCATATGGCTAAACTGAAACATACTCAGAATTGTCAGGTACTCTCAGGAAAGTACACTGAGGCTGAAAGCTCACCTCTCGTAAGAAGCCAAAATTTTCCAAGAGTGCAGGGATTCATAGTGCAGGGAACTATAATCTGAAAGCACAATGCACCAGGCCACTACTAGACTGGAAAACCTAGATTTTTAGTATACAAAACATTAAAATGGCAGAACTATATTTTTTTTTCTCCTTTCCCTTCTACAACACTGAACCAAAACCATGATTCATAAATACCTTTCTGTAAATGACTTTGATCAAAGTCCCTCACTCCCTCTGAATTCATAGGCTTTTCCTTTGAGACATGAAGGAACAACTAGGAGAAGAGCAGGAAATTCTACATTTAAGATGAGCATTTTAATTGCATTTTTTGATAAAGAAGTTTTCTGCATAAGCTCAAAACTCCTGCCAGCATTTAAATAAATCTAAAAGTACTTCAAATCAGGCATAAAATTTTAGCTTTCTCCTGCAACATTTTACAGCAAAGGAACAACTAAGAAACCAAGTTTAAGTGTTGCCTGTGCAATAATCCTTAACTGATGGATCAAAGCAGTTGAATTCAGTCACAAACAAGCAGTTCAGTGCTTGTTGATATCAGGGTAGCAAGGTTGTTAATGGAAAAAGCCTAGTAATTGTTAGTAGCTAATTAGCTACCACAAAATATAATTAAATATTAAAATCATAATCCAAATAATAGTAAAGGGTAAAAGGTTCCAAGCAGAACCCCAGTTTTCTTTTCCTCTTGTTGCAATGGAGAGGTAGCAGAGGTAGAAGATTTCACTTTGGTATCAGGGAACCAGAATGACACAGTGCTTCCTGCCTTCCACTGGCAGCTCCATCAAACATGACTGGGGAGAACACCATGAGGGTCTTGCTTGGATTCCCACTTCTGAAGAGGTCAATCCTACAAAATTCCCTTGGTGGTACCCCACTGATGAGCCTTTACCACCTCATGGTGGCATTCAAAGCTCAGACTCAATGATCTTGAAGGTATTTTTCAACTTTAACAATTCTATGATTTTTTTTTTGTTTTTTCAAAGGAAGAAAAGAGACCCTGAAAAGCCAGAAAAAAGCCCACCCCAAACTATTCTAAAAAGTGAAAGGATACGTCACTGCATGATACTCACTAGAAGGTCACTTGGATAAAATAGACTGGATATTATTATCAAATAAAATTTCCACATCTGCCAAAACAAAATTAATTTTTAAAATCCATATGCTCATTTGAAATAACTGACTTCTGCACAGGTTGCTTCCTCTCTTTATAGCACTAACATTAGATAATTATTGGAATCAAGCGCATGCTATTGACAGGTGCCAGGCATCTTTACCAGTTGAGGCCATTTTAAAGGAAGTGTATGCAAAATTGAGAACATGAGCACAACTCAACAACCACAATATTAAAAAATTAAATTACTAATTAAATAAAAATGTATTAATTAACAACAGTGGTAGAAATAAACACTAAAGTGGGAACTGAGTCCATCAATAACTGTCCTTAAGCTTAATTTCCAATGAGTTGTCACTGAGTTTGACATTCATTTAAAGAGCTTTACAGCTGTCTCACCAGGTTGTTAGGAGTCAAGCAAGATCATTATTCATGATGTTTGACTGCAGGGCTTAAATTTTCTGATCATACCTTACATAGTGTTAATTAGTTTGAAGGCCATAAATAGTTAGGCTTTAAAACTACTTACTTGGCTCTACATAAGGCATAATACAATTTTTTCTTCAAAACCATAGGAAATCTCCTTTTATTGTCAAGTCTTGACCAGGATGTCTCAAAATACTATACAGTCTAGGATACCAGAAAATCAGACTAATCTGAGTTATAGAACCAAACCAGTTCAAAAGCATACAGCATAACATATTATTTGTTTTCCACTCAATGATAGAATCTTCATGTAAAACTTTTTAGGTTATTTTCAGGCTGGTACAACAAAAAAATTAATTATTGCAGTATCCAAATCTTTATATCCTGATATTCATGGTATCTCCACAGAAAATGATTTTGCTCTCCTCTCTTTCAGAATACGTCATTCAAGTATACTTCATGTCTTTTGCCTGAAAAAGTCGGGAGTGGGTGGGGAGGGATGGGAGAAGGAAAAAAACTGAACTACATTACTGAATATCTAATAGAGGTATTTCGTAGAAAAATGTATCTCTATGAAAATGGGTCAATGGATCATGAAAACATTTGTAAATTGAGGGAACCATTTCAATTATACTAGACAACATAGTGAAATATATTTTGCCTAAAATTTTATAGGACAAAGCTTCAACTGTTTATAGATACAAAACTCTCCTGAGACAAGGACAGAGAGGATGATCATTTAGTGATTGAAGAAACACTGAAAAACAGACTTCAGTGAGTAGTCCTGTACATCATAGAATGGGGAGAAGGACTAGATGCATTCATGATTTTTTTGCTTAATATACACTGATCCTATATAGTCCTTTATTAATAACATGAAATACCTGATGCACAATTCCTGATCTCCCACAATCTCTAATTGTTTCAAAGCAATACTTCATACACATTTAGGTATTCAAAGTCAGTATGAAGAATTTGGTTTTAAATTTAAGCTCATTCAATTTTTGGAGCACATATACAATGTTCACCATTATATCCAGAATTAAGTATGCCAAAGAAAAGCATACCCTTAATTGGAGGAAAAGACAGTCACTTCAGTCTACTTCCTGCCACACAGACAAAAAATGAAGAAAGCTGTATATCCATATATATGTGTATACAACCAGGTGCCTATATATATATATATATAGGCATCTGGTTGTATACACATAAATGCGTGTTCACACACACAAAGATCCTCTGTGCAATGAAAAGAAGACACCAATAACTGTTCTATAATCAGTAATTAATTGCACCGTGATGTTACCTCTCTCATGTTTATTCCCCACTGAAACCTGTAATCACATCCTTGTCAAAAGATGCATTCAATAGCCTGGATTGCTGCAAGTACATCCACTGATATGTTCTCATTTTTCAGCTCCTAATCTAGAGCCAACCTTCCTTCAAAGCTATTTAAAATTAACACAACTCCGGAAGTACCTGTAGCAGAATTGCCAAGTCCTTTCTCTAAAAATTACTTACTGCCTAACTTGGTGCTTACAGCCAAAAAAAGTTTTTTCTTAGATCCTAAAACAATGAAAACATCTCTCCAAAGGTCTACCTAGGAAATAGATTTTAACTTTAATCTTCTAGTGTTTTAATTTCTCAGTCTCTCTCTTACACAAAGCTACAAGCAAACTAACAATGATCCAGATTTTTGTGAAATGTAGGGAGCATGTTTTAAACACAGAACAGTTGCAATGCTGACACTAACTCACTGAGCAGTCAGGACTATAAATTGTATTTATAAACCTTCAGAAGAGTATGACAATGACTATGTCATTATGAAAACCAAAGTAATTCACATATTAACATGTACATCTTCAGGAAGAAGGCAAAAAGCAGGATACAGCATTGTGTTCAACAGAACACTTAACATGCTCCTGTCCCAACAAGGTATGCTGAGAATCAGAGGTGCCTTTAAAAGCAACACACATTCCAGTCTCCCAACACAGCACATGCTGGCAAGTACAAGGAAACAAGAAGCAGCACACCTTCAATATAAGTCAGTCAGCAATCCACAGAAGACACCAACACCTGCACCTAAGGGCCCACATGTCTAATTCCTTAAGTTAGTTCAGAAGGTGGGTGGGTAGGAAACAAAGTCCTTCCAGTTATCACAAATTAAATACAACCATCTTTTTTCAGGTTTTCTCTTTCCTTCCTGGAAGTGCTTGAAAACACATGTTCCAATCCTTAGTGGGTGGCAAAACCCCTGTCTTTTGAAAGGTCTTACAAAGTTTAATTTCTTAAGTAATCTCCGTGACAATAAAGAATAAGCATCTACATGAAGGCATTTATTAAAAATACCACCACCAGTCAATGTTCACTCCATGTACTCCCCCGCCCCCCATTTCAGCCAAACAAGCTCCTCTTCCTCCAAAACACAGTGACATTTACCTCACTGACCTTGGGACTGCCTTCCTCCAGTATTTCTCCCTCATCAGTTTGCATGGGAACAGGATCTGTGCAAAGCTCTGCAGAAATGCAAAATACTGCCTAAAAGATAAACAACAAAGATATATTTTAAAAACAGTTATTTTTCCAACTTTAACAAGGTTATGTGAGACTGCAGTACACATAAACAACAATTCTAGGCGATGACCTTTAGTGATGCCATTCTGCACATATTTGCTGAAATAATATTTTACACAAACAAGAACTACTATTCAGGACAAGACAAACTACCTAATTAAAATAAAAAAATCCACTTAACAGGAATATACTTTCTTTTTAACTTTAAAGTGGCATTGCTGAGTATTTAATGTAGTCACTGATTTTACTCATTAAAGTCACAGTCAGCAAGGAACAACCATACAGATCAGAGCTGTGCAATTCTTTCTTACTAGGAAATAGCTTTTGTGCAAATATAAGCCTTAAAGGCACAACTTAAAGCCAAACTAAAGGTTATTTTGAAAATTGTTAAGACTTCCAGTGATCTCACAGTACCTCTGAAGTCTTACACTCAGGATTTTTTCCTTGACTTCATTTTAATAATAAATACATTCTAGAATCTAAATGGTTCAGGGAACAGATAAAGTAATTCACATTCAGGTTGGCATTTCCAATTTAACCCAGGTCAAATGATCCCAGTGTTTCCAATATTCAACACTACTAAGTAATCTAATTTAATCTTTGTTTGACAGTATCAGGGCAGTTCCAACTGAAAAAAAATCCAAAATCTGCACCCCAAACTCCAGTCTTCAAATTGTAAAGTAAGTTATGGAAGGATGCAATACAATTAGGGAGACTTTGGTGTGTAAGATTAGAATGTCTACTACTCCAGAGGATGAGGCATCTTTCAGAGGTAATGGATCAAATTAATCAATTTAAGAGATCAAATGCACCAGCATAAATTCAGCAGGCATCTCTCACACTTTAAATGCAAGACATAAGCCATGACCAGATCTCTAACATTCCAGGTATATGGAGAATAAGGGCTCACACTGAATACAGTGAGTTAAGAATTATCTTAAAGCCAAGAGCTGTCAGGCTTTAACAGTTGTCCCTCTCAAGATTATGTAACTCCTCAGCTGCACCAGCATTTAACATCCATTTCAAGTCTCTCTGCTGCACACTGGCTACAGAACTGCAGAATTCTCACATTCACAGCAGCAATTCCAAGCCTGGAAACTGACAACAGAAAGCTTCTAAATGATGCATCTCCTTCACTTCCTTGCTAATGCCTGTTCAGAGTGTAAGGTGTCTGCACTCCAACCTCCTCTGTTATGTTGCACGTAGGTAAAACAACATCTGTCATGGCTGACACAAGGAGTGAAGAACACGTCTGACAAACATTAAAGGCCTGAAGCTACAAAATGTTACATACAACTTAATAAATCTTACAACCAACAAGCTGTTACATTCAGTAATATCATACACTCTAGTGCAAGGCATAACAGTTGTAAAGACTTAGAGCATAGTAATTTTCTTTTTCGGGAAAAGAAGGAATGAGGAGAAAATCAAACTCTTACCCAAATCCTCACTTAAACATTCTGCCTTCAGCGCATAACCAAAAATCAGAGGTATCAAATGCTAAGAATGACATCTATGCCAAGATTCTCTTGCCTATAACAAATGTTTCTAGCTTTTTGTTCTGCACCCACAGTGGAGGAGGCCAGGCTGGGTAGTCCCTGTCCATGGTACTTCTTTGCCAAGCTCATTTTCTGAAACCCACTCCAAAACTTCCAGAGCTAGGAGTTTTGGAGCACGATTTTGCAGTATCAGAATCAAATCATTGGGAAGCTCCTCAGATTTTTGTTAGACCGACAGTCTGATGTCTAACAGCCAAAACAGCTTTGGCCAGAAGGATTCCTGTGGCACTTACCTGGCCTTGAAGTCAGAGAAACAAGCAAGAATGAACTTGAGCTACAGAAGCATTTAAAAAAGCTTACATATAAAACAAGACCAGAAAGGTCAGACCAAGAGCACTGCAAAGGGAAGTCACTTTTCATTCAGAGTGCTGGAAGAACTCAAACATAAGCCTTTGAAAAACTGATGTGTTTTATCTTCTGAGATCCCTCACTACCAGAGGAATTGGCAGTATTTGATTCCAGTTTTTATACACTACTCCTGGAAGAAGACAAAAAAAACGTACCAACCAGTGCATCAAAGGAGAAAAGGTCAGTAGAACTAGGGAATTTAAAAAAATGGAAAGGCTACAAGAACAAAGAAAAGCAAGCTCTTCCACAGGCAACAGATTAAATGCACTGGAACTATCCAGAACACAAAGACTAGAGTAAGAAATTGAAAGAATAAACTGTTTTCCTTCTTCATTGTATTTTCTTTTTGCTAGAATTTCTATTTTCTCTCTTAATTTATCCCATAATTAATGTTTTATTTGCTTTAACATTTTAAAAATATGTCATATGTCATACAATACTTACAGTGAACTCACTCACATGGGATGGTAAAAAGGTAGAAGTTCTAAAAGGCTCAGTAATTTACTGGTAAACTTCACAAGTGAAAAAGAAAATCCACCAACAAAAATTTTTAAGTGGTGCTGGAAGATCCTAAGCCATAGACTACAAAAGGTGTTGCAAGAGGATATTTTGCTGAACACTGTCCTTTTGTTGTTTGGTTTGGGTTTCTTTTATACTTTATTGCATTTGCTTCTGGGTTCTTTCAGGAGACCAAACATCTTGCAATAAACTATGAGCCCAATTCAATAATTTTTACGTTATTTTGCCTACATAAATCATTGATTCCCTTAGCCACTGGCACAAGAATGCTGCAATGCAAGTACAAACTTATTTTATTGCCAAAAAGAGACATTTCAAGATTTCTGAATCCATGGGACACTACCTCTCTGGCAGACTTTTGTAGCAGTCACAACTGAGGGTGACTTCTTATTGCCAGCACATGAAGAAGTAACATAATTATTGCATGTTACAGACATGACCTCTTCAGCTCACCAGCTTCTGACTGGAATCCTGAAGGTCATTTATTTTATATATGGAGGATAGAAGAAAAGTAAGAATTTGTACTAGCATCCTATAGGATCAGGCAAATGCCAAAAGCCTAAAGGCATTTGTTTACTTATATTCAATGATTAATGTGATATGTCAAGTACCCAGGTGATAATATGAACCAGCTGGATTTCTTACCAACTTTAATGCCTACTACAATACTGTCCTGCCATTAAACAGTATGGTTTTGGGAGAATTCTGTTTGATATTTAGTCCTATTTTTGCTCCATCTCTTTCTGCAGCAAAGATGTACTAATTCTGTTTACTGGGATCAGCATGACGGATGCAGCTACCAGCCACTCAGTGTAAGCAGAACAATACAGTGTCTTTATGGATACCATCTCTGCACTACTGCATTCTAACACACTCTGCAAGCAAAACCTAAAAAAAATTTTGAACAAAATGTCCATATACTTATAAATCCCTGAAAAGCAATACCAGTGAACAAGGTACTTCCTTCTAGGCCTGATTTTCCCTCCACATAGGTAGGTCCAGCATGGAAAAATACACGGTCCTCAATAGCAAGAGAGAGCTGGAATTCCAATGGTTTTAAAGTTGGTTTCATCAAACAGGCATCACTGGGACTAAGCACCCTGTCTAATTCAAGGGTCTTTTGTGCAGCAACACTTTTTTTTTTTTTTTAGATTGGCAGCAAGAATCAAATATGGACTAAAGAGAAAATCTGTTCTTCATCTGATAATGAAGAAAAAACCTACTTCAAGCTTCTAAAGAGTGCAGCTGCAAGAGAGGCACTTATTAATATACAACCAATTGTGATTCCTGTGCATTCCCAAGTCTAAATTGGATATGACCCACTAGAAACCCCCTGAAGGACAGTAAGGCTGCACCAAATGTAACCATTACAGACATTAAGCAAAAATTGAAGGTAGGTCTCAAACTCTCTCACAAAGCAAAACAGGCCCACAAGTGCTCTTCCAAGGCAGTGATCTTGTATACATGGCATACTTGAAACAAGAGCAGTTAGAACAAGGCACTACTTGACCAGTCTTGAATAAGACTGTGCTTATTTGACACAATTGTATTGACACACCACCACTGTCACCAGCCTCAAGGTACAAACAAAATACTAATTTTTAACACACAATCCAGCTATATTATATTTAATTGCTAAAGCATTGTATTACATTGAGTCTGTTAAGAATGTACAGAAGCATAAAATGTACAGAAGAACAGAGTATTTTGTCACTTTAAATGCAAGTTGCTCTGAAAGCAGGAGCATTCAGAAGATAAAAAAACCTTTGACTATAACTTTATTGCTTATAGGAAACAATCACTTACCAATTTCAGTAACTTAAAAAATCTCAACATAAATTAACTAATTTTTAAAGAAAATGATACATCATATATATCAACTTCAGCTTACAGAAACAAATCATATCATGCAACAACATAAACTTCACACACAAACCCACGGGAAGTAACACATTAGAAAGCACATTAATACAGATCTACATCCTACAGTATCTTAAGAAACAGCACAGGCTATTGTTCTTCTCACCTCCAACTTTCAAGATCACAATAATGAGCTTTGGTTGATTTTTACCTTTGACAGTTTCCAAGGGCTGTCAAAGCCCACAAGGATCCGTACTGGCTACATTCAGTGCAAAAACAAAACCCTAAAAGGAGACAAAAAAAAAAAAAAATTAAAACATCGACCAACCGTGGTCATTAGTAAATTAAAAACAAATATAAAAACAAAGGGCAGCTGCCTCGGAAGCTCAGGAAACCTAGATGCACAGAAGTTAAAGGAATAGGCTGCCACCAGGAAAATATTTCCTTAAAATTCTCCCCACAACCTCCCATCCAAATCTGGAAAAACAGTAAACACTGGTAGCATGTGTGAGAGAATCTCCTAGTGACTATGAGATACAACAGAACAGCAGGAGGCTCTAGAAACATAATTTATATTCACAACTGGGAAAAACATGGGGTGAAACTGTACAGGAACTTGTACAACAACTGAGAGAACACACACAAGCATGTTTCCTTGCAGACAAGGGAAGAGATTATGTAATCCTACAAAAACTCCCAAATATTAAATGTTATGTGTAAAAATGAATCGCATACCTACCAATTGTCAGGTATTTAATCCTATTTTGAAAGAGTAACATAGCAGCACTGCAATGGCTTACAGTCATTTCCATTTCAAATCATACATAATCTGTCTAAACCATAGCTAGTATTAAATACTTCAGTTTTGGTTTTGCAAAACATAACCTACTTCCAGGAATTAAAAGAAGTCCAGAACCATCAGCTTACCACTATACATCCAAGTTAACATCACTAAAATCTAAATTATTCCAGTTGCCATTATCCTGGTTTATTGTACGGGATATGAGCAAGTGACACTTTTCTAAATTCACTGCATCATTTTGTTGGCTACTAGTCCTTAATGTACAGCATTATTTAGGAACAAAGAGTTCCTGTCCTTGGACTAACTGCCATAAACTGAGTATTTTTTTCCCTTGTCTTCTAGCATTAACTAAGAGCTGTCTGGGCATGATTTCCATTCAAACAATTTCTGACTAGAAAATACATTTGGTGATAAAAGGAAGTCTTACCTGCCACTGTGGTTTACCTTTTCCTTTGCTTAGTGAGTAAATGCTTTACAGATGCAAACTTAAATTTTGAACTTGGTTCTGATTTATGCTGTGGGGTGATTCTGATAAAGCAACCAGGAGCACACTCTGCTCAAAAGGCCTCAAGCTGTCTTAAAACATCATCTTAAAAAAAAACAGCTGCTGATGTAAATAAACAAAAAACATCACATACTCAACTAGGATATGAGAAGTTGGCTTTAAGTCATTCACAACTTCAAAACAACACAGAAATAGTTAATGGTTTTTCATCTACAGCACAGCAGCAGCGTAAGTCATGATTTACTATAAAAATTACCCAGGATAACCCAGGTCTCACTGTGATGATAATTCTCCACTTTTCAAGGCTGAAGATGGAAACATAACTTGTAACCAAATAATTCGGTACTACTGGTATTTGAGAAGAGGATTTGCAACCTCCTTATTTCACATGGTTTAGAACAATCTCTTTGCATTACTTAGGTGGAAGGAAATCCAGGAAGGATTAGTACTTCAAGGAAAAATGAACTAAAGATATCACTTAAACAAAGCAGCAGGGAAGAATGGGAAAAGGCAGAAATCCTCATGGAAAAATCTCTCATGGAAAAAAATCCAGAGGAATATTCAGGAAGGGCAGTCACACATCCCACAAAACCACTGTGGTGTTCTGAAGCAAAACATGACACGAGAAAGGGTGTCCATTATGCTTAATTTAGCATTGGCTGCACAACTTCATATTTTGTTCTGTATTTAATTCTTTGCACTGATGTTTTTGGTAACATATGGTAAATGTTTCAGCTGTTCATGTACAATGACACAAGTACTTTTAACAAGATAAATAGCTGTAACTTGGAATAGATATCATATACATTACTCTGTACGGCTCTTCTAAAGTAGCATGAGAACAGAAGGACCAAAAAGAAGTTAAAGACAACCTCTGAACAAAACACAGGTCTCACTTCACAGCACTTAAGTCTTTTTACATGAACAACTCAAATACAAACCATTTAATAAAACAGAGTGCTTCTGAAGATGTCAGGGAGGACATCTACAAAAAAAAATGGACAACTACACAACATGATCTGCTCAAGAAAATCCAATCATTAATGAATTTGTGGTTTTTCTCATTAAAAAATGTCACCCTTTTTGATTCATCCTTAACGGAGACATGTGAAACATGCAAAGGTATACTTCTCAAATAGTCCTAAATCAGACTCAATTTAGAAAATCCTGGCTCTGCCTTTGAGTCTAAAGTCAGTCTTGAAACATAAGGACATAATACATAATCATCACCTTCCCAGTGTGCAAAACCATTTACGTAAACAATATTTAAGGTGCTAAATGTTTCTCCTCCCAGTAAAGGAGAAGTCCACGGGAAAAGCTTATTTAAAAAAATGTTTTCTTTACACATTTTGCCACTTTCCACTGTACAAAGCAGCACAAACCCCACTTCTTTTCCGCTCATACCGATTAGGCTAAAGAATCCATTAAAGGTTACAGTGAACATAAAAGGTATTTGTCCTCACTTTGCTACAGCAACCTATTGTGCGCTACATAACACTACACATCACTTCTCAACTGTAATCAAGACAACATCCCAACTGTAATCAGCAAAAGGCTGTCAAGTGGTTAAGTTTTCCAAAGTCCTTTGTGCTTTGTTCCACCCAGTATTTTCACTGTGACTGAAGCATATATATACACACATGTACATATACACAGATATGTGTGTAGATACAATATACGTATGTAACAAAACACCCTCAAAATTATTTCTACTTTTTCTCTTCAAGACCTTCAACACTCTACACCACAACGTTCATAGAAACTACCCAACTGAGGTTGTTTGGTGTCATGTATCTTAACTGTCTGACAGCATCTTCTGGACAGCCAGCATCACAGTAAGAGTTGTTATAAATGAAAATTTGTCCAGCCAAATTAAAATGAAAAATAAAATGTTTTGCCAGACACAAGGAAAGATCAGAGCCGAGCCCGGGGTCGGCACTAGGTGTGTCACAAAGTAGTCAGCCTCAGCAAAGGGTCCCTCTACACCCACACACCACCTTTTTGGTACAGACGGTTTTTATAGGGAAAATTCCACCCGAGGCCAGGGTTTTGGCAATCAGTCCTTTTTTTCCCATTCAGAGTCCCAAACGTTGAAGAAATTTATTTTCTTGGCGTTGGGGTAGAACAATCTAGTGTCAGGTGTTGATTAATCTGATGTAGTTACGGGGATCTGGCATTCACATGCACCGGCCCGGAGGATTTTCATGGTATCAGTGTCGGGTCGTTGACGCGATGATCAGCGCCTGGGATCCCCGTGTGGCTTCGAGATACAGCCCATCTCCGGACCAGCCACATACATTTGCTTGCAAATGAGGTTTCAACGTAGACTGAGTTTTACCTTTGTGGGGGCAGCTTCTAATACAGACGTGTGTTTCCCAAAAAAATACTAAATATTACATATACCATGTTATAATTGGCGCGAATTACATTCACTACACATAGCAAAGTTATGGTGGTACCTAGAGCAGCAAGGAATTAAAACATCGTGAGTTGAGAATACCAGCTGCTTTTTACACTCCACATCAAAGTTTAACTCACTCAAGAGACTTTTTTTGCAAAGTGCCGGGAATCCCAATGGCACAAAAGCAGTCATTATCTTAAGCATCACAACTATCATGGCATTTAATGGTGCACCGGTGGCAAAAATGGCCCGCAATCAACATGCTCAAAATGCCAGCAATCCCTGTATACCAGCATTCCCAAGGATTCAACACTGCTGGAGCTACATCAGTGCAACCAAGCTTTTATTTCAGGGCATTTGCAAAGCGACTAAATCTTCAGAATACAGAGGACCAGTTTTCTAAGGAGAGGATGTTATACTAAACTAGAAACATGAAGAATTTTTCTCCATCTTAAGCAAAACGTTGTGATGAATGAGAAGCCTGCTTCTCAACAGCTCAGCTTTAAACCTGAAAGCTATAAATAACTCCTTTACTGCTGATAATCCCAACAGAATCATCCTGTGAGATTATTCATACCACTAAAGTCAACTCAAGATCGAAGGTTTCCTTTCGAACCACCAGTAACACTCATCAAGTCCCATAGAGCAGCATGTTTATCAAACCCAGCAGCAGTAACTAAATTAAAACTGATAAGGTGGTAAGCAGCCGTTTGCAGGGGAAAGGGGGAGCGCTGCTTATTCCCTGACAGCAGCAATTACAAGAGCTAAAGACAACATTACTAAAAATCATTCACGTGCAGGACAGGATTGGAAGATACCGTGCCTTTCAAACTATCTAGTTCTTCCAATCTTCCTGTATGTAATTGGAAGAGTATCAAAGTTTCCTGTGTTAAACTATCCTTTTGCTTTGTTTGCTTTTACAGTAAGAGCTGTGTTGTTAAGGAATTCACACCGGCATGGCAATACTGGTGCTAAGTCCTCCAGCAGCCATGAAGGCAGACAGGCATCCCCTGCTGCCCAGAAAGGCTCTAGGTCTCGGCACTGCATCCTGTAATGCAGCCTCGGGCAGAAGATTATGGTCAGGCTGAGCCAGGACACAGCCAGGAGGAAGGCCAGGGGAGTGTGACAGAGAATGAAGCTAATGTCACAATCTGCTTTTTCTGATTTTTAAATTTACTTTCAGCTTACACCCTGAAATTTTCCAAAATATCGTTCCATATTTATCTCACATCTAATGATTAATAACAGAGAGGTTCTCTTATACAAGGACATTTTGACTTCTCACTAACATGATTATACATGCAGAGAAGTCCAAGATCTTAGCACTATTATTGTCAAAGGAAACAAATGCAGAGTTGTTAAGCAAATAATTCTAAACTATAATTGCAAACCAACTTTGAACATAACCAGCTGCCAAATAGAACTTCATCAATATTTATAGCATGACATCAGTCTGAATTGTACTTTTCAGCTATTTCAGCATCTAAGAAAGGAACAAGAAACTAATTTTCAAAAATCTGTTTTATAGTCAACAAAGCTTTTTCTTCAAATAAATGAGGCAACACACTCATTTTTA